CAAGGTGCCTGCTGTTTTTGGTATCCGGAACATATTTTTAAAGAAATCCAGTCGTTTGCAAATCATAATGAGCAACCGATTAAGTGATATTTGGATTAATTTAGCTCCATTTTCCGTTACAACATGCCTTAGCGTGTAAAGTTACCCGAATTGCGAATAAAACATAAACAATAGAAATTATTACTGAAAAACAATACTAATATGGTCACATAATACTTGTTCCGTATCTGCGTTCAATGCAATGAAGTTTAGCGAATACTATCAGACTAAGACAACATTTCGTGATCATTTGATAATACAGATCAAATAAAAATCGATTACGCGTAGCACGGAATTGAAAACTCAATGCACAACATCGAATCGATAACAAAATCATCATTTGAATGACAAAAGTCATCTTTAAAATGGACGGAAAAAATTTTGGAGCCGCGGGCAATCGAGCCCGCGTCTTTCGGAATCGCGCCCAGACGCTTTACAAAGAATCTAAACGGCTGTTTGCCACGCCGACAAAAGACTCAACGTATTTTTTTTTTCTTTAAAAACATTGCCCTTACTGTAGGATAAATTTATCCTGTGTTGCAAGGACGTTTTACAAACATAAATTTCACGAGGACAAACACCCATAATGCGAAACAACTATCTGTGGGTCACACATATAGTTGTCCCGTGTGGGGATCGAACCCACGACCCCCGACGCCGAAGCCAATACCTTGGCAACTGCGCTACGAAGTCATCAAATATATAATTTATTATTATATTATTATATATATTTCCTGACAGACGGTTTCCCTTTCAGCTTTCAGCCCGTGGACAATATAAAAGTGTGTTTGTACTCGTGTAGGCTTGTTATCCCCGTTCCAACACACTTTGATTGCTAATATGATGCCCGTACTGTTTCTTTTCGAATTTAAAGCGATGCTTGTCGCAATCTCTTGTTATTTCCTTTACAGCTCACAACATCACATAACATTACATAAAGTAAACCAGTAGGTTGTAGGGGTTACTGGCAAAAGAAATGACGGGAAGTTATTAAAAAGCTGATATATTGATATCGATTTATCGTCGTGTCCATTAATTTGAATAAGCTTTTCAAGGTGAAGGCGTGTGACAATAATCGAATGGATTGTGCCTTTTTGTGAAGTAATACTTTAATCGTTTTTTGTGACGACTGTATTTTACTTGTATTTGTATGTACATTCGATAATATCTAATCGTCAAAAGAAGAACTTAAATGCACTAACTGCCCGTGAACTACCCTGTACCACGTTGTTAGAAATACAGGACGATTGACCGACAAAAAGTAAAATAGTTTTAGTTAAGAATGTGAGTATCGCACTCTAAAGCACACGTGAAATCAAACTAAAAATCTTGTAAATATAAATATGTACGACTATTATTACCTTAGGACATATATTAACTACTTCCATCCTCTCACCATGAAAGTTGTATCGTAATATAACCATTGAGCGGCACTTAATTCGTGAAATACTTTTATTTAACATTTATACATATAAATACATCACATATTAAACGTGTACAAGAGATGTTAGTAAATTGAATGAAATTAAAAACTCCAGATAAAAAACTGGATCATAAGAATGTACTAAGTACTTTAATGTACTAAGCTTATTCTCAGCTCAGCTTAGCTAGCAGGGCTCTTTAGAGATATGTGAAGTCCGTCAAACTGTAGCGCACTAAGAAACGGCTGTTTATAGTCTAACAGAGCAACTATCGTTAAGAGCATCAATTGCGTCCAAGTTCACACTCTACGTTGTCTCCGTTGCGTCACAACCTTGTACCTTACATTCGAGATAATTACTAATTTGCAAGCAACTAGTAAAACCCATTTGGCACAGTCTGTAAATTAATAAAATTCGAATAGTATATATAGAAGAAAAGTAAGTAAAGTAACACCTATATATTCCCACTGCTGGGCAAAATCAATATTCCGTGACATCGAACGGGAAACTTTTTCAATTGTCCTTTATGATGAGACCCCCAGCGTGTGTTCCGTCATCGAGTACTTATACAGATTTCAAAACAACATATTCAATATCATTTGGTCCACAAAACTTAACCTATATGCTATTTACACACCAATATTATAAACACTTGCTAAGGTTTTTTGCCTGAACTTAGCTTTGCTTAGTTTGTGACTAGATAACGTTATGTAAAAGCATGTACCGAAATATTTATTTATTTTATTGTAAAAGTATTACTGTAGCATACTACTGCAATGAAACTTGCGGTTCTGACATGAGCGGGCGGCATTAGTCAGGCATGCGTAAAACCAGGTTGCGTCCGTAATAAGACTAGGCGCGTGTCGCAGCTACGATGCGAAATAGGCCAAATAAAGAAATACCCGTGTTTTTAAAGTAGACCTTGTAAAGTAGTTCCCTTCTCGAAAAGTAACACATTTGTCGACGAATTCGGTTCGTGCTTTTGAATTGATCGATGTTCCAAAAGATTTATTATAACTGAGGAAACGACGCTCCACGTTGTACATTTGCATCTTACTCATTTCTGTATCTTAATTCCTGAGCAATCGCGTCATATATATGACATGTAGACTTTCGTCGGTGCTCATGTTTCAAAATGAGTTTATTTATTTAAAATATCTTAATGCAATATCAATGTAACCGAATCTTTATAAGGTATAAATAATAAAACGTATGAACAATGGCATAGGACATTTTGCGTAAAGTCTAATTGAGTTCAGTAACTGCGACGTATCCATTACATGATACGAGTGTGATTAATTGGTATCGTTTCTATTGAAAAAAATACATATACCACGCTCTTAAATTAAAATACGAAGCGTATGAAATATGACTGCGAATAATTATTCGTTAATTAACTCCAAAAGCATTAATTATCTCTAAAAGCGTACACCACCACAATTATTTAAATACTATCAGAACAGGTGTAATATAAAACTTCGTATATACAACCAAGAGCAGTATTAACGCTACCAATGCCATGAAAGTTGTAAATTGGAAAAAAGCATGAATATGAGCTTATTAAGTAATTAGTTAGGCTTAGTTTATGTTTTCTCAGTAGACCAATTCTGTCCTAAAAATTACCAACAAGGTTTGTCTTTTTTTTTTAGTGAATTGGCGAGTTAGCTGGCGGTTCGCGTGTTAAGTACCATACAGCGCCCGTGGATATTTGAAACGCCCGCAGGGTTACAGATATGTTGTCACCTTTACATCAAACTATGCTCATTATCTGTATATTCGGGTCATAAGGTCTCCGCCCCTTTGACAATGTTATTATTTAAGACATGGAAAACTTACAGCTATTCATACCAAACTAGCCCTAAACTAGATGACATACAGCCAATAAAGTGAGAAAAAAAAAGACAATATAAATAATTCTAAAGTATAAGAAGGGAAACCTATAAAAGCCTAGAAATTCTCGCAGCAAGAATAACTGTTTACCGTATTAGCACGCATTACAAGGAAGGTTGCTTGTATTAATAGCTTCTAATTACGTATTCGCTGAGACGTCCAAGCTTTGCGAGGCGCATACGAGGCTTCTTAAAGATGATAACAGATGCCATTGGAATAAAATAAACGGCAACATATATGAGAAAAACGATATTGGCCGTGATAGCTCAGTGTTCGGGCGCTCGCCTTTCGTTTAATATACTTAAGCAACCTGAGTTCGATCCCCGGTGCCGGCACCAAGGAAATTGTTAATTTTAAGTGCCAAATTATCACGTGCTCAGCGGTGAAGGAAAACATCGTGAGGAAACCTGCGTATTTTCGAAATAATACTTTTTTTAAAAAATCGAAGACACGTGAAGTTCGCCAATCCGCAGTGGGGCCGCGTGGTGGACCATGCCCTGATACCCTCTGTACCGAGGAGGCCATTGCCCAGCAGTGGGACATGTATGGGCTGATACTTTACTTTTTTTATTGGCTTTTTGAACAGACTTCCATTTAAGCCTAGCAATAAATAAAATAAAGAAATGTAATTCAATGCATTTAAATTTATAAGAAAACTTTATGTTACATTTGTGCCAAGTGCGCGAAGACAGGTATCAATTTCTTTAATTAGATGATGAATGAATAATTCTCATTTTTCCATTGTAAAAAGGATAAAATGTAAAATAAATGTCAGTTAATTTATAGTTACGGACATGTAGAAATGAGTAAAAGGGCTGAAGAAAATAAAATAAGTAAATAAATAAGTTCAATATGTAATGTATCGACAGGATAGAATCCGATAGAAGGTATCCGATAGAGTTGAGAAAAATTGACCCATTGTACTAGATAGATCCAAGAATCACAGCTTGTACTGATAGTCGTATGGGTTCATCCGGAGTACTACGGCCTCACAGAAGACCTGTGTGAAGTGCAAGTATTATAATTTAGCGTTTCGTCTGGTTAGTGAGGTAAAATTTTTTTTCATGACCGTTTTAGTAATTGACTAACATCTAAGGGCAAATGTTGCAGTCATTGTCTATGAGCCCACTAATTCTGTACAGGCCTGTTCATTTATGCATTGGTTCAACAAGTTCATAACCCATTAAATTTAATCGTTAGAATTGTACGAAGATTCACTGACGTGTATACCGCGTATAAACAAATCAGTGCAAAAATTCACATACAACACCATAATCTTTCACGTCCTTTGGCTTGTGTTGTTATATATTTATGTTCTTTTCTTTTTTTATTTATTTCCTTTTATATTTTTAGCAGTTTTTATATTTAACCTAGTGTAAATTGAAGCTCAAACATGGTTTCGATGATGTAGCATGTTGTGTACGCATATTTTTTGTTGACAGTATGTAATCGTTAATCTCATTTAACTTTATTGTAATGTGTTGTCTATTTGCTGTTTTGTGTAAGAAATAAAATAGAAAAAAAAATATACGAACACCGCACAACAGTGCTATCTCAGAGTTGTGATCACCGATAGAAATGTTTACAACCCTCTGATGATCGACAACGAAGATTCGACTTTGAATAGATAAAAAAAAAAGACGGACTCACCAATCTTGGCGCTGCTGAACACGATGAGGGCGTGCGTGTCGTCGACCCACTTGATCTCGAAGCCTGTGTCCTTGTACTCGCTGAACAGCGAGAGAAGGTCGTTCGTCTTGAACTCGCTGGGGAAGTCGTAGACCTCGACCACGTGCGCGAAAGTCTCGTCGCACGGCCCGCTCAGGAGCGCCTGCCCGCGGCTCTGGTACTGGTCGTAGCTGTTCCTGGTCTTGGTGATGTGCACCTTTCCCACCGTGGCGGTCAGCTCCTCGAGCAGCGATGGGTCCAAACACTCGCCGCTGTCGTCGAACACCGCGTCCCAGTCGTTCTCCTCCCGTTTTAGGGACACCCTAGCTTCCAACTTCTGCTTAGGTTTGCTTTCCGCCTCTATCTCATCTTTGGTCTCGCTGCTCAGTGTCTTCTTCGACTCTTCGACGGGATCGGATATGACTAGGACGTCCGAGTCGAAGCTCTGCTTGATAATCCGCTTGCTGCTCCTGTTTATCTCCCGCGAAGCTCTCTTCAGCTCCTTCTTCTCGACGTCCTCGTCCTTAGAGTAGGAGTAGTCGCCGTCTATTATCCTCTGCGTATCCCGTTCGGCCATGTTTAATTCGCACTCATCGGCGATAGGCGCGTCGTCCAACTCCCTTCCGTCAGTCGAGTACTCGTAGAACGCGGGGCTGTAGAAGCCGAGCTGACCGTTCGCGAAGTAGTCGCCTATGTAGAACGTCTCGCCCGCCTCTACGTCGCTAAAACTATTATCACTGTACGGTATTGCACTATCACTGTTTGGCACTTGGGGGGCGGGCGGCTCTGGTTGGCTGGGCTCAGGCGCGTGGGGGGCGTTTTGCCTCTGGCCCCTCAAGTGGGGGGGCGTGTAGACGTTGCAAAAGTTCTTGTCGACGGACCTCTTGGGGGTGCCGTGGGCGGACCTGTCCTTGGCGCCGGGGGACTTTGGGCACTTGGGGTCCGCGCTGTGGCTGGGGCGGCGCTGGACCTCGACCCTGTCGCTGGTCCTCGCCTCGTCCGAGGAGCTGGTGTCGGCACCGCGCAGCGCGCGCGGCACGTACACCGCGCGATCGGGTCGCCTCGGTTTAGCCGATGCCGACCTGTAGAGGGAATTACACCCTCATTATTTATCGTCTCCAATTTATCGTCACAATCTCTGCTTAAGGCCCGTTTCAATATTCTATCTACAGATAGATTTGGTTACTGACGTATGTATTATGGAGCTAATGTGAAATATCTATCACTAGTAACCAAATTCATCTGTAGATAGAATATTGAAACCGTTGGCCGTTACTCCTTTTGCGACAGCCGTGAGTGTTTACATAGAAGTAATTAATGGCTTTTACATATTAGTACCCGGAGGACCGAGCTTTGCTCGGTTTATTAAAATATGTAGAAAAATGGTTTTTTTTTGGTAAATCGTGTATTTTGGAAATTACATTTAGATATAAATTACTGAGTAATGAAATATGCATAATATTTTTCGATCTTACCGACTTAATAATAAGAAAATATGAACTGATGTTTTTCACAAAAGAAAGAACTTTAAAAAAAAGGGAATAAAATAACAAATCGACAAAAAATTAAAAATAAAGAAAGCAATGATCTGGAATCGAAAAAAAAGTAAAAAAATAAATGTGTAAATGATCGTGACGCGAACCACGTCCGTCTGTTTTGGGGCCGCCAGATTACCGACCGAGCTATTTTGACATTTACTCTTGCGGCGAAATTTACCGTCATATTTGAATTATATTTTTCATTCCCTGAAAACAAGGATAAAAGGACATTTTCTAAAAATGAAACCTATCTAGATCGATTTTTCGCCCCTGAATCTATGCACATACTAAATTTCATGAAAATCACTGGAGCCGTTTTCGAGATTCCGATTATATATATACAAGAATTGCTCGTTTAAAGGATAAGATATGATTAAAAGTAAGCAAATTGCTACCTTGTATGAACCACATCATGGTTGTTCTCGATAGCAAAAAACATGTTGAAAGTTGCGGCTATCTGCATTTTTTGACCCTTTTTAAAAGGGATTAGTCGATTAGTCTATTTTCAAGACTAACTGCGAACTCAATAACTGTCAATGGATTATATTTATTTTTAACTCTTATTTGAAACTGTAAGCTATATTATGGGGTATAATTTTTATGTTAACGATAAAAAATTGTACCCATATCGATTTTACTATAGCAAGTTAACTGTGGGGCTTCGCAGCAGCTTCCACATAAACGACCGGCGTGAATTGGAAGTATAATTATATTTTGTGTTTAGTGTGAGAGAGGCCATCAACCCCGTTTTTTTAATATTGGTTACGCATGTGCACAGATTGGCCAACGACGGTGATGATCTCTCAACATTAGTTTAACTATCTCCCCCACAAAAGAAAAAAGACTACAGCTGCAAGCTATTGCAATTTTGCGATACACAGAACGGTGTGGACATATCATTGCACAAATTCTGCAAGAGCTAGCATTATACAGTTGCATAATATGGCGCAACGAAGCAATCGGCCTGTTATATTCGACACCTATGTACTTTTATATCGTCCAATACTAAAACAGAACCCGATTTCGTTACACGAACTGGACAAAGCGCGGTAAGCGAAGCGAATTTTTATCTTATCGCATTAAATGTTCCGTTTGCGTAATGTATCGATATCGAAATATAAATTCAATATTACGTAAGCTTTAATTCACTCTATAAGATAATTACAATGCTTTCGAGTTTTGAAATCACGGTACCTATTTTTTTTTTTTTATGTGAAAAGTTGCCTGATGTTAAGTGAATACCGCTGCCCATGGACATCTGCTACACCAGAGGGTTAAAGATGCGTTGACAACCTTTTGAAAATTGGGCTCCGGTTACCTCACTCACCACACGAAACGCAAAAGTATTTGTCATACTTCCACTTTACGCTGGAAGGGCCTGCCCGTTCCTGCAACAGCCGAGGCTGCTGCGTGGCCCTACCACCGTAGATGTGCAAACAATATTTTTTTTTGTTAAAGATCTCAGTTGCTGTTTCTATATAAATTAGGGATGCCAATTTGAGAAAAACAAAGCATCACATGTTACAAGTACCGAAAAATAAAGTACCTATTTGAAAGAAAAAAAAGTATTTTTCAAAAATTTTCTTCTCAGCATAAGCTTCTTATATTAAAGCGTACTGTTTTAACTTAGAATTATCGATAAAATTTCGGTAATTATTCATAAAGGTACATACATTATAAGTGATTTGTTTTATGCATCACAGTACATATTGAGAATAAAGTAGTTTCACATACTTTATTTTTATGAAAAAGTATGAAGTATATTTACCAAAAATAAAGTAAAATACGTTATTATAAAGTATGGTTGGTAGTAGTTGTACTCCACGGCGACGTCACCATGTTATACCCCGTACTGTAGAACAACATTGCGAATAACATGTTGAGAAAACATATGGGATGTCTCCGTGGCGCAGTTGCCAAGGTTTGGCTTCGGCGTCGAGGGTCGTGGATTCGATTCCCACACGGGACAACTATTTGTTCGACCCACAGATAGTTGTTTCGCATCTGGATACTTGTCCTTGTGCAATTTATGTTTGTAAAACGTCCTCAAAAGACAGGATAGTGTTATCCTAAAGCGAGAGCAATGTTTTTATAATAAAAAAAATAGTTTATAACGAAGACATGCGATTAAACTTGGACCAAAAAGGAGAACGTTCTAGTTCGATCCGTTTTACTAAATCCAATGCAAAATATTGTTCCTATTACATTCGCGACTTCAGCGAAGCGGAGTAATGCTTTATTCAACCTTTGACGTAACTAGAGGCGATTGTGACAGCTTAACTTCATCGCCTTGGACGACCTTTACGAAATCCCTCTCACTTTTGCTTGGCGGGTAGTTTAATTGGTAAAAAAACAATGGCCATTGCAGGTTATCTCATAACGATATACAATAAGTATGAACATCAGGTAGACATGTTGCTGAAATAACCTGCTGTGAAATCTGCTGGTGCTTTTAGTCCGATGGCTTTATAAAGGTTTATCGCCTACTAACAAAAGGCTCAGTCTCCACGCTAGCAAGCTCGATAGCTTAGCAGAGTGACTTCTGCTTCATATCACAAAGTAGCGACCCGCCCCGGCTTCGCACGGGTGCAATGTATTATACATTTAAACATTCCTCTTGAATCACTCTATCTGGTAAGAAAAACCGAATCAAGATCCGTTGCGTAGTTTTAAAGATCTAAGCATACATACGGACAGATAGACAGCGGGACGACTTTGTTTTATACTATGTAGTATAACTCAATGCGTTTTTTTGGAGAAATCAGCCAACCAGCAGGCTGTTCGCTCGATGTTAAAGGAATACCGTCACCCATTGCCATGCACAACACCTGACAGCAACATTCGAGTGGCAAACGTTGCAGATTACATCGCAAACGGAACGGACGTAATGGCAAACTATAAATACTTTTATTTTACAATACCGGTCCAATCTACCGTTATGATCAGTGATTCCCTAACGTATTTCGTACTTAGTTAGTAAAGCAACAGGCAGGCTATAAATGCACTGCTGGGCAAAGGCCTCGTCTGTTCAGAGGGTACCAGAGCACAGTCAACCACCCGACGACCCCACAGCGGATTGGGCGGACTTCACTAATCTACGAAATGTGTTTTTTTATTAATGCGAAAAATAAATGCAGGTCTCCTCGAGATGGTTTCCTCTACCGCTGACCGTATTCCATACATTAAATATAAAAACAATTATGAACACCCACAAAACTGCTTCTATTGCAGAAAGAACAAACCGGAGAAGTAGCACTGCACGGCAGAAGACCGATGTGACATAAGTTTGTCCTTTATTTAGTCCGGTGAGTGAGGTAACAAAACTGCTGTCAGCTTTAGCCTTCAATGCGTTGCGGACGGCCACAGACGGCTATAATCGCATACCAACGAGTGTTTAGTCTGCGAGTTCCTCTTAATGAAACGCGAAGCCGGTCTTGCGCTGTGGCATTACGGCCGGCGCCACGTAACACCGTAACGAGCACAAGGTCGCACGCCGAATATTCGTAACAGCCTCTCACTCGGCACACTTTCGACGTTAGGGCGACCCCGCGTTCAGTGGTACGCGGACAGATTTGACTCTCTCCAAACAGTTTTCCCGACGGCTGGGCACAATACATGTTATATATATTATCAACCATTGGATCAACGCAACATGCAACACAAAAACAAAACGACAACAGATTACAGCCAAAAATATGCAGATTTTTTTTAAATTATAATTGAAGATACGGAGAACTAATAACTACAAGAAGTAATAAAAAAAATACAACCAACTGATATAGCGCAGTGTTGACTGTCATTACTATATTGCGCTATTAAATACTTGATATTTATATTGCTTAAACCATGCAGAAAATTAGAAAAAGAACATAATGCCTGCGTTGAGTTGAATCGAGCCAGCTAGTATTTAACACTCAAGAGAAATTAAAAAATTGCCAAAAATACGACATGCAAAGTTTAATAAACGTTCAGAAGTATTGAACAGTGTCCATTAATCTCTTCCAATATAGTTACACTATCGCTGACCGCTTCGGAGTTGCAAAATAACAGCTGCATTCTTTGTTTGTTTGTTTGCTTATTAGACTACTATCGTTGCGAATAGCAAAATGGACGTGTGTATTATATCTATTTGCATATTATAATTTAATGGACTTCCTTAACGGACGTGTTAAAAAGCGAACGTGTGTACTAGTGTAGTCTTCCGCCCGAGATGGCTTTGTATCGTTTAAAAATTGAACCCGTTAACGTTTTAATCAGTCTAATAAACACGTTGTGCAATTTGCGAAAATTGTATTCGCATTGCATACAGACGGTAAAGTTTTTTTTTTCTAGTTTGGTCTTTAAAACTGTTTCGTTTTAAGTTAGGTGCGTACTTTAAGAGCAGAGTTGTGAAATTGGTAAATCAATATGGAGGTGAAGCAAAAGTTTATTTTTATAGCGCTTGAATATTCCTTCATCCTTATTCTCACTAATATTATAAACGCGAAAGTTTGTATGTATGTATGTATGTATGTGTGTGTGTATGTATGGATGTTTGTTAATTACAATTCCTTTTGACCGCGCCGGCGAAGCCGCAGTTAACAACTAGTAAAATATTATGTCCGATAAATGATAATTTAATTATGAATAAATAAGGCGAGGACAATTAAACACAGACCGATCCAAGTCAAAAAGTAGATAGATAGAAGACAGGACAGGTTGTACATAGAAATTACGGTAGACTGATCAGACCGTACTTTGGATGGAGTATGGACGAGACGGACAGCAGTAGGAGGACAGAGAACTGTTATGCCTTAGGCATCGAGGATCAAACAAAAAAAACAAGCATAAACATTGCTTATACGTGCGAAATTCAAAAAGCAAAACATATTGCTACCTCACTCAATCGTATGTCCAACATTCAAGGCGGTACCCTCTTAATGGAACACTTCATTGACTCTATGAAACACTTCAATATTTCCCAAAATTATCACTTTCAATTCAAAGTACAAAACACATACTTATTATTGACCATGGTGGACTCTTTGCTAAGCTTCTGGAAGTAGTTTGAAACCGACTTAACGCAAATTTAAAAAGTTGACGTACGGCAAAATACTGAACACTCGGTAAGAATTTTTTCCAATTTATTCATCCTCCCTAAATAAACAAGACAATGAATGAGGCTATTAGAAATCAATATGGATTTCAATATCGGCTATTTATCGTCTATAAGCTCCACGTTTAACAAATATCAGATCAATCATCCAATATAAATTGATTTCAGGATTGAGTCTCATGAGACGATGAAATGCTCCATAGAAATGTTAATACCAAAGGAGCTGAAAATTTAACTAATTTCGTATAATTATAAATTTTTATAAGTCAAATTATTGGTTCGAAATCTTTTTCGATTCATCATCATTGGACGAAATCAATTAGCGCATTACTTAGCACCGAATAATTAGAAGCAAACTTGAATCAAGCTTAGCTTCACAGTTCAGTTCACACACTACCTACTGGACTATTAGAGCCTAGTGCGAAAGAGATAAACGAAGCCAAAATTAGCCGGTTGTCTCTTTCCAAAGGTCGATGTGTAATATTTATCGCAGGATACTGTACTGATGTACATGTGATGAAGACGTGGTTATAGTCTCCATTATAATCATCAGAATTGTACGCAGATAATCCCTAATTTCTATCAGACAGCCATGCCAAACATTAGAACCTCAGCAAGTTTATTTGGTAAGTGATAACTGGAAATATTGCCGGCTCATGAATAGCGAAATAATAAAGCAACGGAGACGACGATGTTCGGATTAAATATTACATAATTGTTATTGAAGGAAAATCGAAAAGAGTACTTGAGATTTGAGGACTCAACGTGTCAATTTAATTATTTGTAAGTTATATTCAATACATGTTCCATGCGGGATTCAACTGGAGACCTGTAGCTCTGGAGCTATTACCAAACTCCACCAAATTAAGGAGAAGCCGTTAGCTTATTCCGTAGTCATTTTAATTACAATTCTATATAAAATGTTCTAATAGTACAACCGATCTAAAACAATCCTTTCAAGACTTTTGAAAGCATTTCAGCCATTATTAGGATAAGTTTACGCATCCAAATACAAAATATCTACGAACATCATACACAGTTCCCGATCTTTCGAAAGATGCATTTTTAAAAATAGATAACTAAGACTTAAAGGTAGACTAACTACAATGTAATAATAAGGAGAATGTTAGTTTCTGTCAATTCATCACTGAGTCCGTGGGTCGCTCAGGTAAAATTCCCAGGCTAACTATTTTGTGTGTAAGATTCAAAATGTCGTTGTTCACAATCAGATATTCCAAAAGTTTGAGCTTAATTCTTATTAAACAGTAGAACATCCTTTAAAAATTCGAGGGTTGCAAAGGCAAGTTCTAAAAACAGTAACTTGCATATCAGTTAATGTTTCAGACATAAAATCAGTCTAGAAAGGAAAGGTAAGACCTTCATCGATATCGTCCATCTAAATAATAGAAAAAAATACAGTACAAACATAAGTAAAATACCAAAATTAGCTTAACATGATCACGATGAGATGTTAATAAGAAAATCTATTTTAATTATTATTAAATGTGATGTCATATATTAAAAATACAAAACAGACTGTTATAATGGTGATCTTGGATGTATCAAAACAAAATAATTCTTTAGTGCATAAAAAAAAGCATTTAAAGTCACATGGAAACATAACTTGTGGTTAATACCCATAACTTCTTCGAGGAAATACCACACTTATATTATCGATGACGAAACACCAATCGTGCAAACTGCCAGTGAGCACTAGTCGGCCCTCGCTAAGCACTTAGCGGTCTCTTATCTGCGGTTCGGTAATAAACATGTTATACCAGTTGCTGCGGAGTTAACGCGAGTTAACGCGAGTACGCGTCATTTCGATAATATTATTAGCATACTTAAATAATAGACTAGTGGCACGATGCCCCGGAAACACTCTTTTAATGAGCGACGGCATTCCACTGACTGAATGGAACACAATGTGCAGATTGAGAGAAGTTTTGCGCAGAATATATTCACGTTAAAGCTTTCAACAAAATTTTTCAAAGGACTTTTTCCTTAGTTTCATGTTAGGCGTAGGTATACTGTGTTAAAGAGGCCTGGCAGTGGGACTATATGTACAAAATGTACTTTCTCTTTAACGTAAGACAGCGCAGTGAAACATTTTTTGAAAATTTATCCGTTGTTATATATATCCGACTTGTTATATATATTTTACAATAGTAGTCCAACTGGTATGGAATAATTAGCATTATGGTAACAAAGCTGAACATTCCCTTGTCAGTCTCTAACGATGAGAATTTGAATATTTGAGTACAAATACGTGGAAATAATCACACTAACGGTGTGTATATATTCACTACACCATTTAAACCAGTGCGTTCAAATGGTATACATTACAAAACTAGGAACGATAAAGTAGGAAGAAAAAAATAAGCAAACAAGAAACAACCCACTGCATGACTAAGGTATACAAAGAGGCGCAACATCCTTTGTTAACGATAGGAACAACAAATGTACCCACTCTATTAATGAGAAGTAAAAAATTACGAATTACCTTTCATTTTGAGTTTACCTAATTTTACACACATGAACACATATTTTATCAAGTTGTCAAGAATGGAAAATAATCCATATGTTGAAATAATTAGATAAGGTGTAAATAGAATCGCAGGCTGTGTACGCAGCTGTTTCTGCGTATTTTAAAACACAACATCCCATATTATATATGCATTGACCCCAACCGTGAACTGTAACAATTAGTGATGCAAACAAACGGAACAACGTCATTAGTATTTACGTGCACTTTTTAAACAACTATTTACGATTGCCCAAAGACTACTCACTCGTTATCAACGCAACACAATTCCAAGGTTGGCATACGTCACTAAATCACGATTGATAGCAATAGCGACTCTAAAATCACAGAACTAAATATCCTAATCGCACGAAACTGGCACAGGTCACAGAGGTCCGTCCGCGACGACGGTCCGAGCGCGAGTGAACTAGGAAGCGTGCACAGACCTGATCTTTTCCTGAGGCTGGCGACACTGCGCTTGCGCAGACCTGCAGTCCCCCACCGCCGCACCTGCGAAACATTGTTGCATAAGTGGAGGCGGTTTTGACATCGCGGGAAAATTGGTTTTTCGACTGACCGCAGAACGACGGCCATAATCTCGTGTCAGTTTAGGCTGGCGCTTGCGACTACTGGACTGGGATTGATAGGCAATATGAAACAATTTTATTAAATACATCAGTGGAATTCGTAAAAAGCTGTGGTGCCATGATTATCATGAGAGAAGGAAAAAAAAACGTAATTCCAATAGTTGATGGTTGATGTAATGAACGAGTTGTATCAGATTTAAAAAAAAAATGTATATTGTCGCTGCCTAAAAGCGCGAATCCACCTTAATATGTCATGAGCGAAAAACCTAACATTTTACAGGTTTATTAATTTACTAGTGTTGGTCCCACGGCGTTGCCCGCGTGGAAGTAAACACTGTACAAAATAATGGTTAGGGCTTCGTATATTTTGTAATCTTCTCCTTTGTGTGAAAAGCACTATATCGATGATGAGCGATACCGTACTCTAACGCGCGTGACACATTTTCGGGAGGCTGTGAGCAGACCTAAAATTAGAGGGATGGATTTGCGCCTGTCTATCCCCATGGGAAGGGGGCGTGATGATGTTCGACGCGGGCGCCACGGCGTATCTTAATGAACACGCATCTGTAAAATCACATATATATTACATAAATATATATGCATATATATGTAAAACCACAGATAATGACCAGTTTTTCGGCCACCAAAACTGTTACAAATTAGGGTTTTTATATGTAATTTACATATAAAAATAATCCCCAAGGTCGGCTTCAGTAGATACAATTTTTTTTTCTTTTTGGGCTGTATGTGCCACTGTTGGCCTTAGGGGCCTTCACAGTTCCGACGGGCTTCACTGGCGCACAGGGCGCCTAGCCTGAACCTCGGCGTATTATTACTACGCGTTATGGTGACTAAGCTCGATGGCTCCCGAGGGAGCCTCGGCTCGGGCCGTCACGCTATTATTATCACCGGTTTGGGAGGCCGGCAAGCGCTTAGAGCGCTTTGGCGGGCGTTCCATGGAGTGATCAGGCCAAGGGTGCCAGGGAGGGCCGGACCTCGGCTCGATCGGTAGCTATTATCTGACTGGGGGGTACAACTTAACGTAGTTACTATTAGGCCCGTAATGTAAATAATAATTATCGGTAAAGTCATAGGCCTGCAGTGTACAATTTTTTTTAGAGAAGGTGGCAAGTGAGCCGGCGGTTCGCCGCCGTACATGGACATTTGCAACACTCGTAGGGTTGCAGATACGTAACCAACTTTTAATAATGTGGGCCAAGACTACCCCACTCCGAATGAATGAATAAAATATACTTTAATATACACTATCAACGGATATTGAATAATCAACAAAAAATAATACAAAGCTGTAGAACAGGCGGCCTTATCGCTAAAGAGCTATTTTCTTCCAAGCAACCTAGTCAAAAATCAAAATCATTTATTCATCAACATAAGAAACTTACATATCATCTATCGATAGTCATATTTTTTAATCTACCACCTTTTCGTAATGAGGTTCCTCTAGCGGAGAAGAAACAGGCAAAAGAAACTCCTTTGTAATTCATATTAATTATTAAAAAAAAAATATATTATAGAACTGATTTTTTTTCCTTTTAGAAATAGCTTAGGAGCGATCAACTCATTCCCAGGGGTTATTTTCATTAATGTATTCATTTGTATTATAATAACCCTTTTTATAAAGTTTTTCTTTAATAAATTTCTTAAACCTGTTAATAGGCAGGTTTTGAGAATTACTGGGATTTTGTTTTAAAAGCGTAAACACATGAACGTGTTACTTACTCTATGGAGTCTAGTAACTGGCGTTATAAGCTGTTCCTAGTGTTTTACATTATGTACATCAGTATTCTTATTAAAATTATTAATATTTCTACATACATACATAACATTTTCACTTATATATTGAGAGGCTAAGGTTAATATATTTATTTCATTAAACCTCTCTCAAAGATGCATTCAAATCTAGATAACAAATAGCTCTTATGGCCCTTTATTTTTTGCAAAATAAAAATTGTTTCTATATCGTAAAAAGTAGTAAAAGGAGATAATAAAAAAAGTATTATCGGGAACGGTGTACACTGAATTCATAACAGGAACTAATAAGTCAAAATATAAATACATACTAATAATATAAATGTATACGTTAATAATAAAGTAATAAATATATTTAGATATAAGTTGACAACATCGAGGGATGGAACACAATGATTAAGGAGGCATAACCGACTACCTGACGAAACTAGTAGAATGTATAGCACTGCCACTTCACGCCTTACCCGTCACATCTTTATAAAGGTCGTCGCCAATGCAGAAAGCTAGGGCAAATATCTCTTTATGGCCAACCGCTCCCCTGGGAGAAAAAGGTAAAATATTTAGGAGTCACTTTCGACTCGCGTATGTCATTCACAGCGCATATTAATAACGTCCGTAACAGAGCCGCGTTCGTCTCCGGCCTTAGCCGGCCGGCACTTTAACTAACCAGTCAAGTAAAATGTCCTTAAGACACAAATTACTTTTATACAAAGCTTGCGTACGGCCAATCATGTCCTACGCATGCATGATTTTCGCCCACACGCACCCTACTCGCTTGCACAAGTAGCAAGTAGTGCAAAATAAGTTCATCCGCCGCGCAACCGGTGCGCAGTGGTATCAACGCAACGTCGACCTGCACAGTGATTGCAGACTCCCGATGATTCGCGAATTTTTCAAAGACCTGACCAAACGGTTCTTCGATAGAGCCGAACATCATCCCAACCCTCTGGTGGTAAGCGCAGCAAATTACCAACCCGATCTCAACGCGAGCGTCAACAAGCGTCGCCCGCGAAACGTCCTCATCGACCCGGTCGAGAAAGGGGACTTAGGTACGTCGGACCCACCGTCGGGGGTCCCGCCGGATAACACTACACACACAGTTAGTGTAGCAACAAACACATTAGCTCGCCCTCGCCTCCGAGCACGGCGAGACCAACACAACGCGTACACAAGGTACACCCGCGTTCCAGGGCGGTTCTCACCGCCCCCAGCCACCGATTAGCTAAAAACACAGTCGACGGCCATCGGGGTCTCGGTCCGCACCGCAACTTCGATGGCCCTTAGATGACATGCCGTAGTTAAACGCACGCATGAGCACATGCGCGGCCCTACTCACAGCGGAGGGCCCAAACCCGTGGGTTCTGGCTAGCCCACCGGTTCTGCGTCAGATGAAGCTTTAATAGTCTCTGGACTGAAAGCACAAACATCAGTTAATACAAGATACAAGATACTTCACGCCGGTCTTCTGTGTGGTCGTGGTACTTCCCCGGACGGACCTGCCCATTCGTGCAACAGCGAACCGTTCCGTGGCCCTACCACAGCCGCCTGTCACATCCACATTCTCAACGCGAATTCTCTCAGCCGGATTTATTAAACTTGCCCTATCGTCAATATATCGACACGTAGTCTCTTCGAGGCCAAACCCTGTGCCGCTCACTTCCGCGCGGTTCAAATTTTTTTTCCTTTCGCAGTGTCAAAAGAAAAAAAAGCTGCTGATAAACTATGAAAATGAGTAATACGTGGGGAACACTGAAAGTTTCTGGAACTAGCCACTTTCGTATTCACATTTATATTCCTATCAATTAGGAAATCAAAAATCTCTTTGGGAGAGTTTTACTTTTTAACTTGCGGGACCGTCATTTGTTATTTTTAATATAACTCTGAGATTTTCGCTCAAGGATTTTTTACGACTCTCGCGAATTAAATTAACATATGTTTATGAGGCCCTTTGTCCCGGCTCTGTGCATTGGCGGTTCAGAGAATTCTGACGTGGACTCAAGTCCACGTACATGATCAATCATGTACATGAAGATTATTGAAGGTCGGCCGGTGAATCAATATTGGATCACAAAATCCAATTTTGATAACGTAACACAATTTGATTTATCATATATATCTATATAGATATAGAGATATATTTGATGATCAAATAAATTGTTAGTAATAACTAAAAAAATCGTACCGTATAAGGCATTGGGATGAGCCAAGTGCAAAATATTTTGCATGTACTTCTGAGGAATCGAAATCTTTGCGCTCGATGGATACCGAATGATTTTTTAATGATTTAACGTAAGCCCATTTCGAATTGTTCCGTAAAATGATAAAAGTCTGGAGTAGTCATTTGCTGTCTATAATATCGTGACAGGTGTGATGCTGAAACCTGGGTGTGATGCTTTGAACTGGAAAGAAAAAGCCAGTCTGCCCAATGATTCTTTTCTATTGAAGACTTGGCGACGAAAGTTTAGAAAATTCTGTGCACCGGCAAGAGCTTTTTTTCAGTATTTTTTTATTATTTTTCATTACATTACAGTGTCGCTATAAAACCACAGTGTGTATTAAAGGTCAGTGACTGCAGATTTGATACGTCAACAACTTATTTCGCAGAGTGTCGGAAAAAGTCCCCGAAAAGAGTTCCCGCAGCAATGTCATCTGTTACCATGATTCGCTGTCTCGTTCCACTAAAAAACGACTACATTCTTTATGGCTTCAATGTGGAACTGATCACATATCAGCCAAACAAAATAAAGCCGCTTAGCAAACGGGCGATCTCATATCGCTTGCGACGTTCTTATTCAATCAGCCAACATTGCAAACGAGCAGCACGCTCGTTTGCAATGTTGATGCAACGCCTGGTGGTAAGTGATCACCGCCGCCCATGGACAACTGCAACACCAGAGGGCTTACAAATACGTTGACGGCCTTTTAGGAAAGATTATGCTATTAGGGATTTGAAAAAATCTGTACACAATACCCGCATGACGCCAACCTTAAAGATGCACTGCTTGTGATAAGCCCAACAACTTTTTGTATGTGTCGCATTATTATAGTATACATAATAATTAACAAATGCTTTCCCGGGATTTAAAAACATGCCAGGGATTGTATTCTCTAAGTGTTATCGTTAAAGACGGGAAAGTGGGTGCTGCCGCGGTG